GGTCACCCGTGTCACCCCGTCCCCTCCGCCCCCGCTGATGGCGCCGGTCCCGCCGCAGGTGGAGCGGATCCTGTCGGAGTTTCGGCTGAAGGAGGAGGACCTGAAGAAGGTGATGTACCGGATGCAAAAAGAGATGGACCGAGGGCTGAAGCTGGAGACGCACGAGGAAGCCTCCGTCAAAATGCTGCCCACCTACGTCCGCTCCACGCCCGAGGGCTCAGGTACGGCGCCGCCGGGCCGGACGGGCGTCACTCCCGGTCCTTGGCTGCGTCACCTCTGCCCCGGACCCCGCTGAGCTCAGAGCAGGAGGCCGAGACCCCCCCTGAGCCGGTCACCTCGTGTCCCCCCTCCCCGGCTTTGCAGAGGTCGGAGATTTCCTGTCGCTGGACCTCGGCGGCACCAATTTCCGCGTGATGCTGGTGAAAGTGGGCGAGGGGGAGGAAGGGCAGTGGAAGGTGAAGACGAAGCACCAGATGTATTCCATCCCGGAGGATGCCATGACGGGGACGGCCGAGATGGTGAGCTGGGCGCACAGGGCACCCCGTCCCCTCCCACGCGGTCCCTGTCACCAGGCAGGGGGACACCGTCCCGCGTCCCGGTGGGGACGCCGGCAGGTACATCCCTCATCCCTCCAGCTGGGAGAAGCCAAGGGGTGGTGGGGAGGTGGCCACACTCGGGGGGACGGTGGCCAGTGGCAGGAGGCTGGGGAGAGCCCCGGCGAAGGCTCTGGCCTCCTCTCTTCCAGCTCTTCGACTACATCTCCGAGTGCATCTCCGATTTCCTGGACAAGCACCAGATGAAGCACAAAAAGCTGCCCCTGGGCTTCACTTTCTCCTTCCCGGTGCGGCACGAGGACATCGACAAGGTGAGGGGGTGGCCAGGCAGCGCGAGGACTCGGGGGTCCCCATGACCCGGCTACACCCACAGCCCCGTTTGGCTCCTACCCTCGCTCCAGGGCATCCTCCTGAACTGGACCAAGGGCTTCAAAGCCTCCGGCGCGGAAGGGAACAACGTGGTCGGGCTCCTGAGAGACGCCATCAAACGGCGAGGGGTGAGAGGGGCGTAGGGGTTGTGCCGGTCCCGCAGCGGGCG